CATGGCAAACCATTGCCATTTTATCTCCATTATCATCATCATCAGGGGTAGTTAGTTGCTCGCCCCTGTTCCTAGTATAAATACTAATAAGCTTAGCAGAACAACTGAAGGCAATTGTTGTGAAAGTATTGTGGAATTGTTGTGATTAATATAAAGTGAGAAGACTAAGGAATCGTAAACTGGTAGTGTGCTGACTATATATTTGAAGTGCGGAGTTAAACTGTGAAGGAATATCCCATTCGGCACTCAGATTTTGGTGGTTTGTTGTTGGGTTGTTTATCCGCCCATCGTCGAGCTGCTCTTTGAAAGCATGTTCTACCCCTTGATCTTCCAGTCGCTTTGTGTTAAAACCACTTTGGAGGCTTGTTATCTTCACCGTTTTTGGGAGACGTGAAGGGAGAGTTTAGCTCTGATGAGCCGATGACATGTGTCACAGAGGTCTGAGCCATATATGTCTCTGGTAATGAGGACATCTCTGCGATCTGTTTCTCTGACAATGATGTAGTCAATGAGATGCCAATGTTTGGATCGTGGGTGTTCCCAAGAACCTTAGAACTTGTCGGCCTGCCTAAACAAGGTGTTGGTGATAATGAGGTTGTTGTTCAGCACACTTGATGAGGAGAAATAGACTGCTGGTATTACACTTGCCCACTCCGTTTCTCCCTATGGTTCCCTGCCAGAAGTCAGCTGCTAACTCTGGCATTGAAGTCACCTAGGAGCACAACCTTATCTTCTCTGGGATAGAGATTATCACTCGGTCAAGTTCGATGTAAAAAGCTTCCTTGATGTCATCCTCTACATCGAAGTGTCATGAAAACTGTGAGGGCAAACTTTTTCGGAGTGAGAGTTGTGAACTCTTGGAAGAATCTGCCAGAAAGTGTTGTGACGGCACATAAGATAAGCTCTTTCAATACCAGACTTGACCAACACTGCAGCAGGTTCAGGTACATTCAGGAGCTGGTACATGCCCAGGACTTGCCAACAGTGTGTAAGGCCGGGCATCCATTTGACCGTGATCTGTATCCGCATCCGTGTCAATGAAAAATCGAGTATATGAGAAAAGGTTGAGAAGCATCCATTGATCATTTCCGTGTCCGTGTCCACATCCGCGAGGAATTCGTGTAGAGCGATTTTTCACGGACACGTACGGAACACGGAAGCTGTTGTGGGGGCTACGTGACCTTTCTTAAACTCGCGAGACCTATTTTATAATTAGTTTACCACAGTATCCACCATGCCCAAAAGCAAGGACTCCAGTAGACTGAACAACCAAGAAGTTTGTGAGGCCTTGGTAAAACTGGTCAGACAAAACCCGGGCAGTTTACCTTCTATTGCTGTGACTTTCTGGGAAAAAAGCACACCTCACATACGTAGTTTTCACGGATATATGGATGTTTACCTCACGGATATACTGACAAGGATACGGATGCGGACACGGACCACGGACAAATGGATGCCCGGCCCAACAGAGACTTTTACTTACTTTTACTTTTATCCTCTTCGCCACTGATCGGCTCTTTAGCCGCTTGGGCGATCGGTCACGTCTCTGTTACTTTTCTTTTTCTTTTATCCTCTTCACCAAATGATCGGCTCGTTAGCAGCTTGAGCGATCGGTCACGTCTCTGCTACGCACTGTTGGCAAGTACTGGGCATGCACCGTCTCCTGAATGTACCTGAACCTGCTTCAGTGTTGGTCAAATCTGGTCTTGAAAGAGCTCACACTCGGTGCCGTCACAACACTTTCTGGTAGATTCTTCCAAGAGTTCACAACTCGCACTCCGAAAAAGTTTGTCCTCACAGTTTTCTGGACTTGCGGCTTCGTGACCGATCGCCCAAGCGGCTAACGAGCCGATCAGTGGTGAAGAGGATAAAAGAAAAAAGAATGAGTTGCTCGATAACCCAAACAGGCATCTCAGTTAGCCTATGCAGGATGGATTGGTGAATGGCAAAGCCAACTCCATAAATGAGGTTTCTCTCCGCAGCAGGCTTACCCTTCCAAAAGAAGGTATAGCCGGACCCCCGTTCTGTGAGTCGACCCTCGTCTGGGAGCCGGGACTAACTAATGGCTACTATGTCGATGTTATACATAGACAGCTCTTTTGCCAAAAAGGCGGTTCTTCTTTCAGGATGCTCATTTGTGCCAGTATCCAGATGGGACTTGACATTCCATGCAGTGACCATACGAGGTTGCATAGTTTGTTTTTGTTTTAGATTGTTAGGATGCTTTTTACTGCATTTGGATGATCTTCTTGGGTGCGGTTGCCTAGTCAAGTGAGTTTTTAGGCAGGCTATGTTTAGGGCACCCTTTCTCGCCCCCTCCCCTTGTGGGGTGAGCAGAATGATGTTTGGTAACTTGTTTCATTCATCCACTACTCTATTTCCAAACCAATGTTTACCTATATCGCGCTAAATCTAAATTTGTCTAATTTAAAGCCATTGTTACGAGTTCGCTCCTGGTTGGATAGTTTGGGTACTTTTGTTATATCACCTTCGTTAGCCCTGACTCCCAATTATACACCTCTATCATATCACCCCTCACTCTACGTCTCTCGAGGGAGTGCAAATTAAGATGCTTTAACCTGTCTCTATACTCAGGGTTCCTGATGCCCGGGATTATTCTTGATTCTATACCCATTCTGTAATACGGTGACCAGAATTGAACTGAGTAATCCAAGTGAGGTCTCACAAGCGCAAGATATAGTTTTAGGATAACCTCTCTAGTGTTGTAACTAACACTCCTTTGTATGAACCCAAGTACTTTATTAGCCTTGCTTCGAGCAAATACACATTGTTTATTTGGCTAAAGATTCCTACTTATCATTACTCCTAAATATTTCTCACATTTGGATTTCTCTATAACATCGTTGTTCATCTGATATCTGGTTTCTCTGTTTACATCTCCTAGACTAAGTACCTTACAGTACATTTGTCCACATTGAATTCATCTGCCATTTTTCAGACCATTCGAAAAATTTGTTTAGATCTTCCTGTAGTTTTGCGGATTCCTCGTCAGATTTAATTATACGGCCTATTTTAGTGTCATCAGCAAATTCACTTATGTTGCTGTCTATGCCGATATCTATGTCGTTTATGTACAGAATAAATAATAATGGTCCAAGTACTGAGCCTTGGGGTACTCCACTAGTGACGTTACTCCAATCGGATTTAGTGCCGTTTATGCTCACTCGGTGTTTCCAGTCCTGTGACCACGTACTAATCCATTTTAGAATATCTCCTCCAACGCCATGAGCCTCCACTTTTCTTATTAGTCTTTCGTGTGGGACTCTGTAACCGGATTACGCTGGGTGCTGCTTTTAGACGAGTCTTACCAGACCTTGCCATCCCACTGACTCCCCAGGCACAGTGTAAACTGATCACATCACAGCCTACACCCGTGTTTATCCTCCCTAGTTGGGAAGCCTGGATTAGTCCATTTCAGCGTTCTAGCTATGTACAGCTCGTAAACACAGAGTCTCTATGTATAACCATTGAGTAATAAGATAATAATTATTTTGTAAATATCATGTAGTGTAATTTATATTGAATTAGAAGGTAATGTATTTTATTCTCGGTTTCTGAATGAAATGAAAAATTATTTTAGGTCTCTTTTCATGCAATAATTGTTACAATTCATCATGATAGTCATTAATTTGATCAACATCATTATGTATATGTACCATATAGTGGATCTTTTCATCCTCAATATAGTCAGATAAACATAGGGTAAAAACAAACACGTCCATTAAATTTTTTCACTATATAATATATATATATATATATATATATATATATATATATATATATATATATATATATATATATATATATATATATTTCATGTAGATCCACAATGAAAACGTGGATAAGATAAATCTTGATAAAATCACACGGGAAAAGGGGTGCTCCGTTGTTTCCCTTTTCCCGTGTGATTTTATCAAGATATATATATATATATATATGCAAGTAAATCACTGTAGGTGCGCGTGATCTAGGTATATGCTGATAACCACAAGGAAAGAAGAAAACACGAAGTTCCCAAGCGCTTTCGTGTAATTCACATCTTCAGGGGTGAGTACAGACTAGAGAGAGTAATACAAATCAAGGTGTATATATACAGAGGAGGATGAGACCAGGTCCACAATGGTCAGGTATTAGGTAATGACCCTACTAATCTTTAAATAGCACACAACGGTTGGTGGTCAGGTCAGATGGTCAAGTGACCCGGCCTTCTCACCTGATCACAAATCTTCTTAATTACAAAATTGTCCAGCTTGTACATGCCGTTACTCAAATTCATGTTGAATGCTTCGGTATGTTTAATAAGACTAGATTCTATGATGTTCCTACTATCAATTGAATTACATGGTAATATTGAGGAGGCATTATCCCAGTCAATGCAATGCTTGTTATCCCTCAAATGAACAAACAGAGCATTGGATTCCTGGCCTGTCCTAACACTGTATTTGTGTTGTTTAATTCTAGTTGCAAGATCTTTACCTGTCTGGCCTAAGTAAAACATATTACATTCCTTGCAAGGAACTTTATAAATGCAACCAATTGTGTTGTTGGGGAGTTCTTGATTAACATTTGTTTAACAGTGCATGAGTTCTTTCCTTTGTGCATATATATATATATATATATATATATATATATATATATATATATATATATATATATATATATATATATATATATATATATATATATATATATATATATATATATATATATATATATGCGCGCAGATGTGTGTGTGTGTGTGGGGTAATGTTGTTACAGGGTAGACTACTAGAAGTTGGATCTTCCCGCCAGTTCGCCTCTTCCTACAAACCAACTACTGACGATGACAATTTTGCAATAATCAAATCTAGGTGTGTCACACACACACACACACACACACAAATATATATATATATATATATATATATATATATATATATATATATATATATATATATATATATATATATATATATATATATATATATATATATATATATATATATAGGAATTGCCTCTTTATAGCTGGCTTCGTCAGACTTTGTTAAATATGGTCAAAGTGAACCTTAAATAATCTACATTCTATAATTCCTCGTTTGCTTGAAGCCCAGTCACTGACGTGCGTGACCTTTTCTCTGTTTGAGTGTATCCTATTAAATGCTATTCATGTTTGGCGACTCCACAATTCTCCAGGCGTCTGACGGTCCTGGCGGGGCTGGAACCTTTCCCAGACGGTGCTCTCTACGTCCAGGGTTCTTCAAGCCAACACAGAGGTCACTGGGGCCGTGAGGGCATCACAGCCCTCGTGCTGGATCAGGGTCATAGCTTGACTGGTCCTTCGTACTTGGAAATGGTCGAGGACGACCCTCACGTCATCCTCGGGAATGCTGGGGACTGTTCTGGAGATGTGGAGATTATTGTTAGTGCGGTAACACTACAGACTGATAGTCATACGATAATTCATTTCTATGTCGTCTACTTCCATTATGTCTATTGTGCTCTCAGAATGGCTACTATTCCCATGGTGTCTACTCTGCACACAAAGTAGTAATACACCATAAAGGACAAGATTATAAATAAAATAAATGAAAAGCTTAAATCATAACTAAACAGAACATAACTACTAAAGAACAGTGTTCCTTACTTTATAATACCTTGTGTCTCTGACCCAGATGGAAGATACTGTCACTTGTATGTAATGTGTATATATATACCATTATTGTATATAAATTCAATATTATTGTATATGCTTACTATTACCGTATATTGTATACGGTATGTATACTATTGCTGGATATTGTGCATGTATACTATTATTCTATATTGTGTATTTTAAGCGCGCTCATGTCGATAAATAATGCAATACACATATACGAAGATTTAGAAAAAAAGTTAAGACTGACCTACCATGGGTGTGGGAACTTTGACCAAGCCATCCCAAGTCAACAATAACGTCAGAGTTCACTCTAGGGATGAGCAGGTCAGGATTGTGTCGACTTGTTTAAGAAAGTTTGAACACACTTTGCATTATGGGGTTATCTCTGTCTATTTGTCTTTCTCTCTGTTTTTTAGTATAGTCGATTACTATTGCAATGCTAACTAAAATAATTAACCAATTATGATAACTACTACTTCAACTAGTGCTATCGATGGTAATTGCAGATTACGGTTACCCCCATGTCTGGACAGTCGACAGTTAATGAATAGATAAATAGGGAATGGAGAAACTGGGCATAAACTGCTTTTATTGCTTTTGTTTCTCTATAATGATGCACACAACCTACTTTGCCGCATTCATGATATGACTGATGTGACTCATGGCGATTCAGGAAATACCTGTTTCCAGTATTGGTATATTTTCCTGTGGTAAATTAATGCTATGCTTGATTTGAATTATCTTCGTAGCTTCAACACACACACACACACATACATACCTGGCCAGGACGGTGATGAGGGGCACGGGTGCCCATAAAATCGGGTTACACTGCACCAGTAACAGTTTGTCGCCATTTACACCCACGTCCACACGTCCTCTATACAGCAATCCTGTGGGAACAAGTGACACTTACCCAATAGCATAAATACCATTTCATGATATCAGTGAAGGCGCTACTGGTCTTGGAATCAACCAACCAGACGGAGCGTGCACCCTCACTGAAGTATAGAGTTAAATATTTGGAATTCCTCCACAAGAATGGTTATTGTATAGATATGTACATACCAAGATATGTGAACACGCCTGACGCCAAGACTCTGTTACCATTCATTGTACCATTTATTCACATGTCTGTATTACTACATATTATTATAGCATGTCTGATATCTATGCTTATGTCTAATGCCTATGTTCATTTACTATGTCCCGATGTACTATGTCTGTACCGCGCTAGTCGAGTAATTAGAAGACCTCATTTATTGTCCTAGTAATGTCTAGCAACTCTCCTTGCCTAGCTAGCTAATTTCCCTCAGATCGGCTTCGGCCTGCCTACGACGAGGAGTTCCTTGTGCTGGCTCCTGTTCCTGTACCGGTTGGCTATCACGCCAAGTCTTGTACCACTTGTTGAATATATCTACTGCTCGTGCCCTGGAGTTTCAAGAACCTTGTCTAGGATTACATCCACTACATGGCGCAGTTTGAGTAGCTCCAACATGACAGTTTACAAGCCTCAAGAGCCGGCCCCGTCTGTTTCCCGCCCAGAAGATATACTCCACAGTGCCCCTGGATTTAAAGTGCTTTGTGACCTTGTGAAGTGCCCTAAGTGAAGTGCAGTGCCTTTTATGTCTCTTTGCTATGTTTCTGCGGCCCTACAGGTAGCAGACACGCCTTCAGCCCAGTTTCCAAGACAGCACTTCCGGCATACCTCCTCCATCTACGCCGGCCCACAGGCCACTGCCTGCGTCCCCCTTCGACTGAGCCACCGCCGCCAGCTCGCCCGCGCGCGGAGGAATACAGGGACCAGCACCGCCAGCCGCCAGCCGCCTCCTCTCACTTCACAAATATTACAGTCAGTACTCTTTTACTTGCCCGCCAGTTCCTGCACTTAAGCAAGTCCATTTTCGAAAACATAGCACTTCACCTTATTCTCCTTGTCTTTCCCATCGCAACCATACCAAACACGAGATGTCTGACCACGACGATTTGCCGGGAAATTTAGATGAGGATTATGAGGTAGACGAAGCCTCACAGACCCCCCCACCCCCCCTCACGCCTCACACGCCGGGCGCGCCAAATTCAAAGGATGGGAGCCAGGATATACGTCGGTTAATCCACTTCCTACAAGTTTCTCAAGAGAAGGAAGCCCAAAGACGTCAATTAGAGGAGGAAAAACGACGTCAAGAGGAATGGTCAAGACGTCAAGAGGAATTGTCAAGACAGTCAGAGGCATCAGCTTACCGCCTTCAACTTCAACAACAACACCAAGCTGATAACCACAAACTCCTGCGACTATTGGAATTGCTGGCAACGAGGACGACTTCACCAGCTGCCACAACCAATTCGCCAGCTTCAGCCTCTTCATCTATCCTTCAGACAACGCCCCCTCACACGTCACCTATCCCCCTTGGGTATACCTCAGTGCCCTCTCAACCACCTGCTCCAGTCTCAACTCTCGTCGACCTCTCCGTGCCTCCTCCACCGCCTGCCGTCTCGAGTAAAACCCCTGCACAGCAAGTCTTCAGTTCCCAGTCCCCCACCTCTTCAACCTGATGCAACATATCAACTATACCGTCAATGGCGACGTCGTTTCGAAGACTTTGCTGTCATGTCTGACCTCAACCGAATGCCCCCTCATAAACAACTCATCCAATTAAGATCGTGCATTTCCCTCGATGTTCAACGCCTCCTAGAGCACACGCTAGCCATCCCCCCTGACTCCCCCAGGTCAGTGACAGAGGTTTTAAACGCCTTGCAGAGTCATTTCCGTGGCCTCGGCAATGAAGCTCTGCGTCGTAGGGAACTGCTATCCTGCAAACAAGCTCCTGGGGAATCATTCTCAGACTTCTATGCACGACTTAAGGACCTAACAGCCGAGGTGGACCTATGTACAGGCGATCCTGTAACCTGTGCTGAGATCCAGCTCAAGATGATCTTGCTGATGGGTGTACGTGACGAGGACCTGCTTCAGAAACTCCTCACTCTCGACGCCGCCTCTTCCCTCACCGACTTCGTCACCTGTTGCAGGTCGTATGAGGCCACAAGAGAGGCTGCCTCAGCTATACACTCATCGCCATCTCAAGTCCACGCCGTCTCCACCTACAAGAGGAATCAACGCCAGATGCAGACGGCGTCCTCTCCACAGCCCCCGTCACAGTCACCAGTTTCTTCTCCCGAATCCTGCAGAAGCTGTCAGCGCCAGCACGGTCCAGGTAAGTGCCCTGCGGCTGATAGTACATGTCGAAACTGCGGGTTTCAAGGCCATTGGCCCCGCACACCTCGATGTCCTGCCAACAAGGTCTCATGCAACGCTTGCAACAAGCAAGGACACTTCGCCAAGTGTTGCAGGTCCACCAAGAAGCCTCCATCTCCAGGTCAAAACGTCTCTTCACAGCCCGACAGAACGTCCACACCACCGTCTCCCAAGAACAACAAAGGATGCCGACGCGTGGATGATACCTCGAGTGACAGGTCCCCCAAGCCCGTCAATGTTCGTCTGTCCTACGGTACCAACTCTTCCAACCTCCTGATGATACCTGACACGGGCGCGGACATCACGGTGATTGGACCAACACACCTGGACGCCCTCAACATTCCCAGGAGTAGCCTGTCACCCACAGCCATGAACGACGTGCTCACAGCGGACGGGTCCCCGATGTCTCCACCTTTGGGTTGCTTCAAGGCAACACTACAGCTCGGTCCCAAGTCTTGCCTTGCCACAGTCCACGTCCATGAGGGCATCCAAACCCCTCTCTTGTCATGTGGCCATTGTCAGGACTTGGCCATCGTCTCATCCGAGTTCCCAAAGCCCATCCTCGCCGTGACACACCTCAACAGGTGTGCAGAGATACCTGTTTCAGCCATGACCACACCTGCTGCCGCCCGGGAGTTCTTTTTTCGTCAGTTCAGCGACGTCCTTGTCTCCAAGCCCGACCTCCAGAAGACGCCGCTCAAGAAGATGACAGGCCCCCCGATGAGAATCCACCTCAAGCCTGGCGCGACGCCTTTCGCCATCCACACACCCAGGCCTATCCCCTTTGCCATACGGGACAAGGTGAAGGCGGAGCTCGATTCTCTGGTGCAGCAGGGGATCATCAGACACGCCGGTGAGGAGCCCTCCGAGTGGTGCCACCCTATGGTCTTGGCACCCAAGCCTGTAGGTGTTCGCATCACAGTGGACCTCACCCATCTCAACTCGCAGGTCTCCCGTCCCGCCCATCCATCGCCTACGCCCATCCAAGCAGTCCGCAGCGTCACCCCGTCTGCAAAGTTCTTTACCACGGCGGATGCACTACATGGGTACTGGCAAGTCGACCTGGCGGAAGAAGATCGCCACCTCACTACATTCATCACGCCCTACGGCCGCTTCCAACACTGCCGCGGACCCATGGGCTTCGCAGCAACGGGGGATGCGTACTGCCTCCGTGGGGATATGGCTCTGCAGGGTGTCACCAACTGCGTGAAGGTCGTAGATGACATCCTGCTCTTCGACGATGATCTCCCGGCCCACTTGAACCGAGTTCATCTGATGCTCACAAGATGTCGTGCCCATGGTATCACCCTGAACAAAGATAAATTTGTGGTCGCCGCCCCCCAAGTTAACTACTGCGGCTACAACATCTCGCCAGAGGGGATCTCAGCTGATGAGGAGAAGGTCAAGGCCATCAGGGACTTCCCTACTCCAGCGAACCTGACCGACCTTCGCTCATTCATGGGCCTGGTAAATCAGCTGGCCGACTTCTCCCCTAAAATCGCCACATCAGCCCAACCTCTACGCCCCCTCATGAGCCCCAAGCGCTCTTTCCTCTGGACTCCTGACCACGACCTAGCGTTCAGGAATGTTAAGAAGGCGTTGCTGTCACCACCAGTCCTGGCACCCTTCGACCCGTCCTTACCAGTGGTCCTCCAGACCGACGCCTCCCGTCTATACGGCCTCGGATATGCCCTCCTTCAAGACCACGGCCAGGGTAGACTGCGCTTAGTTCAGTGTGGCTCCAGGTTTTTGACGGACACGGAGACCAGATACGCCACCATCGAACTAGAGATGCTGGCAGTCGCCTGGGCTATGGCCAAGTGCCGCCTTTACCTGTTCGGCCTTGGGCATTTCACCCTCATGACGGACCATCGCCCGCTCATACCCATCCTCAATCACTACACGTTGGACGCCATCGAAAATCCTCGCCTCCAACGTCTCAAAGAGAAGACCGCCCCTTACGTCTTTACAGCTGTGTGGCGCGCCGGGAAGCTTCTGTGCATACCAGACGCCCTCTCCCGAGCCCCTGTTAGTCGCCCCACACCTGAAGATGAAGTCGACTGTACCACGGCCGCTGCTCACGTTCGGTCTTTAGTGACACACACAGCCACTTCTCTTGCTGACAAGACGACGACGACGCCCTCCATCGAAGACGATAGGACTCTCCAGGAGCTTCGCATCGCCGCCGCTCAAGACCCGGCATACGTCCAACTCCTCGACTACGTCTCCGCTGGATTCCCCACCAACCGCTACGACATTCACGCCTCCGCCCTCCCCTTCTGGAAGCTAAGGGATAGCCTCTATGCGGACGGAGAGCTGGTGTTGTACGGCCCCAGGATCGTCGTTCCCGCTGCCCTCCGCCGGCGCACCTTATCCCGCCTCCATGACAGCCACCGCGGCGTTGAAGCCACCAGGCGCAGAGCCCGTCAGACCGTCTTCTGGCCTGGTATTGACGCCGATATTAAGAGCACGGTTGAGGCCTGTGAGCCTTGCCAGCAACTCCAGCCCAGCCAGCAACAAGAGCCGTACCTGTGCAATGACCTCCCAAAGCGGCCCTTTGAGTCCGTGTCCGCCGACTTCTTTAATGTGGCCGGAAAGTCTTTCCTGGTGGTCGCCGACAGGCTCTCTGGATGGCCCGTGGTAGTTCCCTGTGGTCGGGACACCACCTCTTCCAGGGTCATCCGGATGTTTTGTTGCTTCTTCCGGGAAGTCGGAGTGCCTCTCCGCCTCCGAACCGACGGTGGGCCCCCGTTCAATAGCCACGAGTTCAAGAGCTTCGCCGAACGCTGGGGCGTCCACCACATCGTCACCTCCCCTCATTACCCGCAGGCGAATGGCCACGCCGAGGCAGCGGTAAAGTCCGTAAAATACCTCATCCTCAAGACAGCACCAATGGGAAACCTGGACTGCGAGGAGTTCGACAGGGGCCTACTGGAACTCCGTAACACCCCTACCCCTGCCGGACGCTCTCCTGCCCAGGTGTTGTATGGCCGCCCCCTTCGTACTTGTGTGCCTGCCCACCCCCAGTCCTTCTTAGATGAATGGCAGATCAAGGCGGACGAGTGTGACCGCCGTGAGGCTGCCCGGATGGCCCAAGTGACAAGCCACTATGACGCCCAAGCCCGCCCCCTTCCCAGGTTGGCCGTCGGCCAGCAAGTACGAATCCAGGACCCGACGTCACACCGCTGGGACAAGGTCGGGGTCGTCATGGGCCGTGGCGAGTCTCGTTCGTACCAAGTCCGCCTCCCCAGTGGTCGTGTGTGGTGGCGAAACAGACGCCACCTCCGCCCAGTGCCATCCTCTAGTGACGAACCTTCCTCCCCGTCCCCTGTGTCCCCTTGCCCAGACCAGGAACGAAGGTCGTCAGTTGATCCTCCCATTGTCCCTCGCCGCTCCCCCCGACTCATGGAAAAAGAGTCCGTAGCCGCTCGAGATTGCACTACGAGCGTAAAGGGGGAGGGAGGTGTATAGATATGTACATACCAAGATATGTGAACACGCCTGACGCCAAGACTCTGTTACCATTCATTGTACCATTTATTCACATGTCTGTATTACTACATATTATTATAGCATGTCTGATATCTATGCTTATGTCTAATGCCTATGTTCATTTACTATGTCCCGATGTACTATGTCTGTACCGCGCTAGTCGAGTAATTAGAAGACCTTATTTATTGTCCTAGTAATGTCTAGCAACTCTCCTTGCCTAGCTAGCTAATTTCCCTCAGATCGGCTTCGGCCTGCCTACGACGAGGAGTTCCTTGTGCTGGCTCCTGTTCCTGTACCGGTTGGCTATCACGCCAAGTCTTGTACCACTTGTTGAATATATCTACTGCTCGTGCCCTGGAGTTTCAAGAACCTTGTCTAGGATTACATCCACTACAGTTATCACTTGCTCTGAAGTTATTAAATAAAGTAGTTGTCATCACACTGCAATTCCGTAAATAGTTTTTACTTGCTGAAGATCTCGTAATAATTTGCAACTGATTTCGAAGGTCAGCCCGTCTGAGAGCTGTAGTGAATGATTCTTACCTGCTTTTTCAGAATGTTTCGATATGAAGACAAGACACGTTTGTTTATTACAAAAGTTTTTTGTGAGGCTATAAAGATTATTTTTTAAGGTGAGCCAACACCTTTCTACACCATTTGACCTTTGACTGACCGACTAACGCATTCACTGTCTCTCACGGATGACAAGTTTTTTCTCTCTATGACAGGCTGAGATCACCTCACCGATGGAGAAAAATATTATAATATTTTACTCTGGTCCAGCATTGCCCTCGTACATTCACTCTTGTTATTGATTACTTAATATCGTGTTATTAATACACTACTGCATGATATGGCCTCCTTGTCTAGCTGTCCATCCTTTCCTACATTAAAATTATCACCGTCCTTCTTAAGGGATTCTGTGCTGTACTTCCAAATTTTAACCAGACATGAAATTATTATGGCATACATGTTTATTGCAGACGCTTAACCTTGGCCTATTTCTCAAGGTCATATGGTTAGTTGATCCTAAGAATATCATCACAGTATTTCGTGAGATAAAGTGCCGAAAACAAGAGCACTTGTTTCTCAGCTCTTTCGTTTTCCAATTAACATCGATCGAAACTGGTTTACTGAATGTTTAGGCAAACCTCATAGTGATTTCTTGTCGTTTTACTTTAAATCTTATTCTAGTGAAGAATACAGTCGGGGCGATGCTTTGTACCCCATAATTTCAATTGATTTAATTTTGTTTTTATTCTTCACGTTCGTGGGATAAATAGCACGAAGCTACTATTAAAATGCAGGAAGAGGACCGATTTTTATCACAACACAGTTTGTCTTTGTGTGGTAAGTAACTTCTTTGTTGAATGCTGGCAAGTATTGTGTCAAGTAATCAAGATAAATAGACTATTAACTATTAAGAAACCTGATATATGTTAAAGCATTAGGTAAAAAAGTACGAGAGAAGATTATTTTGATGAAATTAAAAATTCATTATCCATTTTATATATTATATAATGTTGGAGGTTATATATGATATAGGAAACACTGTTGGAGGTTAAGTAGAAACCTATTTCATATTCAAAATTAGAGACCCACTCAGGAATTTTGACTAGCTGAGTGAGGAGAAAGATGTGGTGAAATAATGATAATGGTTGCCCCTCGTGTAACGAGGATGGCCGGCCCAAGGGCCACCTAGGCGTGACTTTGTTTAAGGTGTAGAAGTTGTCGCCACAACAACAACCACATCCTAAGTTAACGAGTTGCATGACTCAGTGTCAAGGAATAGTCCGAGAAGACCAGACAACTCGCCAACTGCACTGGCTAACCATTACCCCGGAACACGGTCCGCAAATCGATTAACATCCAGGTCCCCAATTACTGCTGGGTAGACAAAGGGGAATGGTGTAAAGAAACTTGCCCATAGTTTCACCCTGCATGCTGACCATTACACCACAGGTCACCATTGTGGTGAAATATTCCCCCTTCCACAACAAGCATATATCACCAACAAAAACCACTGTTGTGAGTTCAGGGGATTGAATGTTTTGAATATTGAAAGGAATGGTGAATAAGACACTAGGTTGTTATGCATGGCGTAATGCACAGTAATGCATTGGTGTTAGGGTTGGGATGTACAGTATGTATGTAAAATATTTTGAATAATTATTTATGAGCAAAACTGGTACTTGATACCTAAAAATTTTCCTAAAATGTATGCATGTAAGTTTAACTATTTTTGCAGCTTAATGTAGGAGTTGTTTTATATTAGTGCTGTTAGGATTGCAGTCCACCGGTACACAGTGTTTAGTCAGTCAACCGCTGGGCATTGCAAGTGAGTTTACGTCTGAGTTTGTCAGTGGTGGATACCCTTTCTAATATGGTTTAGTTGAGTATTATATATTCAGTGCTGCTCTATTATTATGTATTGTGTGTATAGTGCAATCAATTATTGTGTTGTAAGGTAGTTTACGGTTTATATACTGTGACACATTAGTTGTTTACTAAGGATGGCAAACCAAATGCAGTTTAACTTTGTAAGAAGTCATTGTCAAGATGTTTTGTCCTATGTTAAATATTTTCAAAGTCAGTGATCATATATATTATTTATTATCTTGATTTAATTTATCCGTTCATTATATAACCTACACATTTATTATGGTAAACTTGTTATTAAATTTTATTTAAATCTTTCGTGATGTGTATAATTCCAAACCTTCACTCCTGAACAGTTGTGATATAGTAAGAGGTTGTGATCGAAGCCATGACGCACAATTTCATCCTTATTCGTTTGTAACTTTTGCATTTAACATTGTTTGTCGTGTATTGAAGTAACATTAATTTTAAGTGATAAATATTGAGGACTAAGTTGTGCTGAATTGCCAATTTGTTTTCTTGTGCCATATGTGCCCTCATTATTATATTCATCTTTAACGTAATTCAAGTTACTTGGTTATGGCATAACAAGGTGCAAAATTGGACTTTAGAAAACGAAATGTAGAAACAACAGACGTGTTTGACAGTAAAGTGAGTTTGTAAAAGATATCAAAATGAAGTGAAGAAACGTGAGAAGTTATATTTAGAGCAAACTCGGAAGTTTTTGGAGCAGCAAAGACACCAGTATACAGTGCATACGAGATTTAATATGATTTATTGTCAGTGAGGCAGAAAATATATACAGCAAATGCAAAAAGGAAGAAGAGTACTGGGATAAGACTGAGATATCTGGCAGCTCACCGTCAAAGCCGTGCTGGATAACTTCCAAGTGATTCCCACTGACGACCACCCTGTCAGTGACACTGTAGTTCCACGCCTTTGTCGCCCAACCTGGCACCTTCCACTCTTCCTCCAGCCGCAATGTCTGTATCAAGCACGTAAAGCTTTAGTAAAACACAATTTAACGATGCTACTACTACTACTACTAATAATAATAATAACCCCCAGTACTTTTAAATAATTAATTAGCAATAGAAACACTGCAAAGTCAAGGACCAGAGTATAAAAAAATAAATACTCCAAAAAAGGTCACAAAAAGTGACAGCTCAACTTATATCATTCGGATATCCTTAAGTTGAAACACTTCCTAGACTATAATTCTCCATCACTTCTTCAAGATTATAAGCTCTTTAAAAAAAAGGTCTTAATGTGTTTCTTAAAGGCCTCCACAGAAGTCATCTGCTTCATGGATACAGGAAAAGAATCGGGCAGCAAAATAAAACATTCCCATACTGCTATAGGCTCCTCAAGGCATGAGAGATCTGTCAAAAATTAACATAGTAAATCGGAAAAAAAAATAATTAGTGAAACAATTTCACCCCACTGTAATTTTCCATAAGCTGTGAGCTGCCATGAGCTGTTCACGCGAGGGGAAATTCCTCTATCAGTAGGCCGACCTTGAGAATGTAGGGTTAGCCGGGCCTCTTTTCTTCAGAGGCAACTCTCCTCCCAGGACCAGTCCTCACTTGAAGCTCATGAGAATCGGTTGGGTGATCTAACTCAGTCAAGCTGAGCCCCCGTCCTTAACTAACACTCACAACTTACAGTGTTAATTACGGTGCATCTACTAATAGACTATGACCAATATAGTTTTACCAATAAAAGGAGAAAAGACCATTTTGGGTTTGTAACTTAACCCCTCAACTTATTAAATATATGAGCTAAATTAAAGGGAACTCTACCCAAAGCTTATATATGTTTCTTATCATTGGGTTTCGTTTTGTTTGGGGTTATATTATGTTAGTAATTTTCATTGTTCCCTTCACTTACTAGAATATTCTTTTGTTCTCTTCCAGATGCCATACTACCCTTGGTCAGTTATATGAACAGTAAAGCCTAGAAAAAGGTCGACTCCAGTCTTCTTTTGCCACAATTTATTGTTCATAACTGAAACTGAGTCATAATGGAGAAGTTCCTGAGGCCGGAACGACTGGATGCTACGCCGAACTCTCCCACCGCTTTAAAGGATTGGCGCCACTGGTTCCGGACCTTCAACACGTTCCTCACCTCCATTTCTGCTCTCGAGCCCGACAAGCTAGCCACTCTCTGCAACTTCGTCTCCCCATCTGTGTACGAATTCATAGCCAACCGTGTCTCGTACGACGCCGCCATCCAGATTCTGCAGGACTTGTACGTAAAGCCGAAGAACGAAGTGTTCGCCCATCATCTACATGCTACCAGGAGGCAACACTCGGGCGAGAGTTTGGACGAATATTTACAGGAACTTCATTAGCCCAGCAAGGACTGCAACTTCAAAGCTGTTACAGCAGAGGCGAACAGAGACGAGTATATCCGCGACGCTTTGATCAATGGTCTCTTAGAAAACAAGACTCTTGATTTGGCTACTGCGTTCGACCAGGCTCGCGCCCTCGATCTGGCTCAAAGAAACTCCGAGTTCTATCTTCGGTCTCAGGCGCCTGTGAACGCTGCCACTGTTCCTTCACCTGATAAAATCGACAGCTATGACTCTCCCCTCTTAGCTGCCACTCAACAACCGAAGTGTTTTTTCTGTGGTGGGGCACGGCATAACCGACCTCAGTGTCCTGCGTGCGATTCAGCTTGCCACAAATGCAAAAAGAAAGGCCATTTTGCGAAAGTATGCAGATCATTTCGTTATTAACCTTCTACTTCATCTTCCACTTGTGGGGTATTACACTCTCCTTCTTTGGCTACAATATCTGCGACATCCCCTGGTTGTCTCGCTCGATCTACCATGTATGTGTTTGTTAATGACGATACAACTACAGCCCTCGTTGATACAGGGAGCTAAAAATCGTTTATATCAAACCGCTATATCCAGCAGCATCTCTGAGATGTCATCCAGGGTCAGGTCACGTGTCTACGGCCTCGTCTTCCCTATCGTCGCCAGTACTAGGTCACTGTACTGTAGACATTACCCTCAAGGGTAAACTCTATCCAGTTACTTCAACAGACTGTTCTTCCCGACTTATGCAGTCACGTTATTCTTGGTCAAGATTTCATGAGCCTACATAGTGGCGTTACAATTGATTTCGGTGGGCCTAAAGAGCACCTCATCATGGAATATAATACAGCTGCTTGTAGCCTAACATTTGCTTTGGTCGATCCACCATATCACTTCTCTAATCTGACCTCCACCTGTAAACCTATTGCGACGAAGTCAAGACGATTTGGTCAAGCGGGCAGGGTTTTCATCTAAGGTGAAGTCGATAAGGTGTTGTCGGAAGGAATAATCGAACCCAGCACGTCACCGTGGAGGGCGCAAGTCCTCATCACTACTATTGAGCGGCAGAAAGAGCGGCTTGTTGTCGACTACAGCCAAACCATCAACAGGTACACCCAGCTGGATGCTTATCCCTTGCCTCGGTTAGACGACTTGGTGACTAACCTATCTCGTTACAAGATATTCAACACTCGAACTAAAGATTGCGTGCCATTCACTGCCTTTGAGGCGGACGGTAAATTGTACCAGTTCTGTAGGGTCCCATTCGGAGTGACGAACGGCGTGGCTTGTTTCCAACGAACCATCGATGAATTCATACGTAGAAACGAACTGCTGGGAACTTTCGCGTACATTGACACCACCATCGCCGGTTCGTCTCAACAGGAGCACGATAAAAATCTGTCCAGATTTCTTAAGGCAGCAAAGAAGTCAAAATTCACCCTCAATGAAAATAAATCCGTCTTCTCAGCAACGTCGATTGATTTGCTGGGCTACACCATATCGCAAGGCACTCTCAAGTCAGACACAGATCGCTTGCGTCCTCTGAAGGAATTATCACATTTGAAAGACTTACCTGCTCTACGACGCATGATAGGACTCTTTTCATACTACTCTCAGTGGATCTCGCACTTTTCCGATAAGGTCAGACCTTTGGTCAAGGCTCAGACATTCCCTTTCCAAGGGGAAGCAGAATCCGCCTTCGAAAATCTTAAAAAAGGAACTAGCAAGTGCGGTAGTCAGCTCGATTGACGAGACGATTCTATTCGTAGTAGAAACTGACGATTCCGACTCTTCTATCGCTGCTTCCCTGAACCAAGCCGGTAGACCAGTTGCATTCTTCTCGAGAACACTCTCAGACAGTGAGTTGGTTGGGGCAGGAGGTGTAGCGATGCCCGGTGTTTCCACACTTGGAGCACACATCCCCCTGAGCCTTGCACTTGGTGGTGGCGTGTTCGTAACGCTGGCATTTATAGCAGAAGGGCTTCACTGGCATGGCACGGTTGAGACGTTTTGAGTAACGTTTCATGGTGTCCTACAAGGGCAGTTGTTTCTGACAGCTTTTTCAGACAGCAGAGTTGTCCCTTGAGAAGTTCGCTGATTTCTTCTGAGTCCATAAATGCTATTTCAGGGTGGGAGATCACTCTCAGCTTCAAGTTGTCCCCCTGGTGGACAATCCTTTCCACTTGTATGCCGTTGATGTCGACGAATTGTGTCAGTTGAAGGAATTGGCCATATTCAGCGAAGGTGATTTTTAAGGTCACCGTTCACCTTGATGATTCCCTCGATCTCTTCAGAGTTAAAAAACTCTTTAAGGACGAGGAAGTTGAGTAGTTTTGGCCAGGTTTCTTCAACCGGGCGCTAACGGCTCACCTTGACGTCTTCGTAGAACACCATGGCTGTGGAGTATTCAACTTCCAACGCCGATCAGCCCGTGGTAGTTCGATGCCAACCTGGCTCTCCTCTCGTGAACCAGTCTTGCTACAAAGACACGTCAGGAATAGACCACTGGTATACACTGTAAACAGAAGTGGTCCCAAAACTTATCCCTGTGGGACTCCAAACTGCAAAGGGATCGGGTCTGGAATGGTTTCGCCAACACTCACACATCGAGATTGCTCTGACAAATAAGACTCAAGCAGTGAGAGAGCATTCTCATGACACTAAAAGACCAAAGATCTTGAAACAACAGATATGATCTACTGTGTCAAAAGCTGCAGACAGATCCAGAAAGACCAGGAGGGAAGACTTTCCTGTGCAAATGTTTATTACCAAATCGTTATGACTCTAACATAAGGCAGTTTCAGTTCAATGATGCTTTCTATAAGAAGAATCACTCCATTTCTCTCTTACAGAGGAAGCAATTGATTTAGCAAAGCACGCTCTATGATCTTTGATAAGATGAGAGATTAGAGAACGGACTATAATTTTAGCATATTTTCAGTATGAAGACCAGGTTTCTTAAAAAAAGTGGAAGCAATAAAGCCTGTTTCACAGATCGTACAAAATTGCCCTCTGCAAAGCAGTTATTTATGATTCTACGAATAAAGTCTGCCGCATGTTCATAAGCAAGTGGTATAGTTGCAGAAATGTGCTCCTATCCCCCCTGTGGTAACCTGTGTCTCCAAACGGCCAACCTATTTGACCTATAGCAAACCTATCCACCAATCACGTCCGTCGTTACACGACCAATACCAATTCATTCATAAACAGTGATACTACTACTGCTACATTGCCGTTTGGAGACATGGGTTACCACAGGGGGTGTAGGAACAGATTTCTGCAACTGTACCTTACATACATTTGCAGGATCAAGACGGCAAAATATCTCCGAGTCCTTGATATAACGCAGAATGTTGTTCACCCCTACAGGACAAAACGATGAAGGAGTGAGGACTGGCGTAACTCAGTTGAAATTCAACCGAAAATTCCTCATTTAAAGAAACACGATTATGTTCACTTCTTATATGTGATATCTGTCATAATAAAGAAGAAAAATATGAAGAAGGCATAGTAGTTCCAAACCTCTGGCCCAGCAGCCCATTCACAACTGCATAATATTTTTTTCTTATCACTACCATAAATGGCTATTTGAGTTCTGTAGTGTTCAACTTCTCATGACCTAGCTAAGCAAACAGCCCTACATGCAGCCATATGTACACTGATCTGGTACAGTCTGTTCACCACCTATGTCATTCTCATTCACGACTTCTACAATCCCTACGAAGAAAACTTATACGCGAGTCATACCATGGAGAGTCATCTCATAATGTAACACTCTTCGTGACCTCTGGAAAATAACGGCCTGAACTGGACTGGAGGACATTATTATATAACTTGACCATCTCCTCTGACTACAAAACAGAGATTGATCGACTTCCTGATCAATCATGGTCTGGTCAATATTTCTATAGTTCCTGAAAGTAATTGTTTTACAGTAAGAAGGGGGTCTTGGGACATTGAAACCAAAAGTAACCAAAGCATGGTGGATCGATCAGGTCAACTGTAACGTCTAATATACGATCAGAGTCAGCAGAAGATAAAACTAGGTCGAGAGTGTGCCCAGAAAGATACTGTATGTTCGACATGATTGACAAAATTGTTTAGATCGAGAATTTCAAAGAACGCAGAGGGTAAAGGGTTTCAGAGATGGTTTGTCAACCCAATAATCAAAGTCAGCACAGATCAACCATTGCTCAATCTTTCCTGAGAAAGTCTCAAGAAGCAAGCCAAATTCATCCTATGAACTCTGTATCTGCACCTGGGTGACCAGGTCGATACACAAAAGTAATTCTAATAACTTGGCAATTAAGATTTATTTATTCCTCCATAAATTCAAAGGAGGAAATCACAGTCACTACTAATCAGTTTAATGGTGAGCCCCAGGGCCACAGGATAGATCAGTGCCATTCCGCCTCCTGGAGCTTCGGCAGCAGGTGTGGGAACATGAACAAGAGAAGGAGTCTTGGGAAGAACATTACGGATAAAGTTAATTTCTCATTTATACAACCACGTTTCAGTTACACAGGGGATATCCAAACTAAATTCCCCCAGAAATTCATTAACGTGACACATTTTGTTTCGGATTGCACGAATATTAAGCAGACCCACTTTTTAATAGGCTCAAGGAGAGCACTAAGCGCTTTTTGAACAAGTAAAGTCAGTTTTTTCAATTACTTTTTTACGATGGGAAGTTATCATCGGGCAATATTTACTTGATGCAAAATGTCGATTGACTTGGGTGGCACTGTAAAAATGGAACAACAAGCACTGCAGGATGGGGTCTTATTTGAACATGTCCTGGACTCTTTAACAGCTTGCATAGAAGGTACAAACTGGAGAATCAGACAGAATCAGACTTCCTGGGACAGCCAAATTTTTGGCAGTGGTTGCATTGAGTAACCCAAAACCTGTCATAAGCTTTACATCTGTTCAGTCCAACTTAAACATACCCTGAAACTTCTCAATGGAATTTCGTACTTCATGTGACATCGTCATGACTGCGAGTTTACATTCTTTTATCTATGTGAAAACAAGGGTAACTTGGAGCCTTTATAATAAAGGCTGCAAGTTAAATAAAGGCTTTATCTAGCCGTTCTTGCAATTCATTATTCTTCTTTTCAGCAATGCCCGAGACTATTTCATCAGGAAATGTAGTAGGAATACTTACAATTGTCATTTTCGGCATAATCTTTCTTAGTTCGGACATCATGAAGTCTGAGTGTGTACCAAAGCAGGAACTAATTGCCCCACTAGCCTTCTAGTTTACCTTCTCGATCTAATAGCAAGGGGGCCGGTTCTTGTCTCCCTGCAGCTATCAACAGGAATGGACTACAGTGCTCTCTCAACACTTCCTCCAGCAGCAGCAGCAGCAGCAGCAGCAGCAACAGCAGTACCTGCTGGGTGTGGACTGTCTTATCCCTGCTCAAATCATTTATCTTGACACTCACCCCTTTAGTACTACCCTGATTTTTGTTTTAACTCCTTCAGTTCCTTAATGATTGAGGAGACACGTGGGAGGCCACTCCGAAGCATCGATCATGTCCTTTAATGATATCAGCCTCCCATTCACACCCTGCTCAAAAGTCCGTAGAGCACTTGTCATGAGCGACACTACCTTGTTAAATACTTCAACTTCCAGATTTGATTCGGACGCACTTCAGATGTTATTCATTACGTCTTCAAAACCTGCACAGTACCATCGGAAGCCAGGTTCTTTTTTGGATATACTGTTGTAATCCTCTTCGTCAAGGTTAACATAAGCAGTGTGGTAACAGGCACTGCAATACCAACACCTTAGAGCCTGATCTATCTTGGCTACTGTTTCCCTGCACAAAAATGAACAAGCAAAGGAAAATAAGGAAACACTAACAAACTGCGGCAACACCAAGAAACAAAACCAGTCAAAAGAAGACAGTTGAAAGAGATAGACCAGAAAAAAAAAACAAGAATAAGAGTTAGGGTAAGAAAAACCTTGTTTGTAGGCTATAAAAAAAAAACTATTATTGTCAACATTCTGTTGGTCTATCAATTTTAGTTTTATTAAAAGTTGATGAGGCAGTAGGAGGCAGTAGTACTCACAGAGTTAGATTCCATGTGGCCGTGTAGGATGTGGCAAGGCATCACCCTCCTGGTGCTGGCCAACGTCACCCACTTCCCGCTCAGCTGTCACAACAACACATACCAATTGTGATTAATGACATATTCTTTAATTCAGGGGTTTTAATCTAAACTATCCCCACCCCATGCCTCCCACATCCCCACCCTATACCTCCCATATGCTGGTTTCGTTAGTGTACATGTGTTGAAAAACATCGCTGGTAAATATACTGTCCAGTCACTGTTCAATTGTGTATGTGTTACAGTATGTGATCATGATGAGATAACGATGATGATTAGAAAGAGTTGATAGTGTATCAAAACAGAGTGATCACACCTCTATCACCACTGGATCGAATGTTGTTAGATCTCACCAATAGTTACCACCAGTGTGACCTCCTCACACCAGTTGTCACCAGTATTTCGCAGGTGTGGCCAGATCACACCAGCAGTTATCAGTACAATACTGTAACTTGTAAATTGTTATCATTCCTTGAAGTATATACTCCTTTATTATTATTGTTTATTCAAACAAGTACTTTCATCTAGCTAGCACTAGACTCCCATCCACACCAAACCCGTCCACACCACCATATCCTTACAATCCCTCACCACACCATACATTACATCACTATCCCACCACCACTAACATTGAATATGTTATTCATAATTCTCACCACAGAAAGATCAATCTCATTTGGAAAGTTGAAGTATTCGCTGCAGATGGCGTCGTTGAGATGCAGGTGCACAATTAGCAACAGGCTCACCAACCATGCCCACTCAGCCCATGACCGCGAAACCATCTTGGACACACGCCTGTAAGTAAAGGTAATGAATGGTCATGATGGTGTGTGGTACTAAAGGTGTGGTGGTGATGTTGTGAGGTACTGGAGGAGTGGTGATGATGGATGGTGTGTGGTACTGGAGGTGTTGTGGTGATGGTGTGTGGTACTGGAGGTTTGGTGGTGATGGTGTGTGGTACTAGAGGTGTGGTGATAATGCTGTGAGGTACTGGAGGAATGGTGATGATGGTGTGTGGTACTGGAGGTGTGGTGGTGATGGTGTGTGGTACTGGAGGTGTGGTGGTGATGGTGTGTGGTGCTGGAGGAGTGGTGATGATGGTGTGTGGTACTGGAGGTGTGGTGGTGATAGCAGCGGCTACTTTATTGTGCACCCCACTCTCATCCTGTGAGCGGTAGCGCAAAAGGATTACAGAGTAGGGTTTACAAAGGGTCATAATAATTAACCCCCGTTGTCAGGATATTATGGCACTGAATGTTACACAGTATTTCATTTACATTATTTGTTTAGTTCTATACATAAAGGGTAACTTATTCACAAATGCGTGAGTACAGGCGTGTGAGGCAGTATGTCTGGCCTCACACTTTGTTATTCACATTTACGTGAGAGGTATTCAAGCACATTGCGTATTTGGTTCTGTACATGAGAATTGATATAGTTACTAAGTGCAAAAAAGTGGATACAATCTTAATATGTCGGCTATCTTGCCATTAGAGATGAAGTGTTGTGCCATTTCACACACAGTGTGCTTGGACCTGTCCCTAAAAGGTTCTATCTTCACACAGTCGAGGACGTAGTGTTCAAGTGTGTGGCCATATGTATGGCCACACACTTTACATTTAGTTTTGTTTACATCTGCTTGAGGAACATACTGCCAAAGGTACTTATATCCTAACCTTAATCTAGCGGTTACAACATCTTGTAATCTAGTGATCTTGTTACTTGCTCCATATACATGTTTCACTTGATACATCTCATCATGGTAACCTATGGATCGACTAGTGCCTATTTGCACTTGTCTACTTGCGTCAAACTCATCAATAAGTTCTTTCCTAATTACAGTTTTAAGGGTTCTTTTTGACAGACCCAAATTGTATTCAACGGTGTCTTTGTTAGACGCGAGTTTGGCGAGGGCATCAACTCTGTCATGTTTTATGAGGCCTATGTGAGAGGGGATCCACAACAGTTTGACCCTGACACCCCGGTCAACAAGGCAAGCATATTTGTGTCTGGCTTCAGAGACAAGATAGTGTGGTACTGGAGGTGTGGTGGTGATAGTGTGACCTCAGTTACAAGGGTGTGGAGTGAATCACTGACCTGTGGAGATTAGATAGGTGTATGCCCTCTCTCTCCGCTGCTCTTAATATTACTCCCGAATGTGTTCTTCACTTGCAGTTCTTAAAGATTTTTTCAGTATCAAATATTATTTACGTGAACAATGTAATGTTGGCAATACAAGAATAACAAGAAAATGGTCATCTGCTGCTGGGGAAAACTTATGTACGCCAGTAAGTTAGTGACATTACTGACTAACGAAAGTAATAATACAGGATATAATTTGTACAAATACGCGTTGAGGAATCTTCATGCATAACTTTGATCGATAAAAAGGTAAATACTGTGTTCAGTAGAATCGTCATACAAATTTGCACCCGATTTATTTTTCATATTAACAATGCAGCTTTGACTATACAGGTGTTCAACCAGTGTACATTGAGTGTACACTCAATCGTGAACAGTAAGGCAACTATAGCAAGGATAGCCAACATTGTTTCAATATGTATTCACGTTATTGATAAAAAAAATACACAAAAAAACGAGGACATTTTCTTTTTGTTGATGGCCAAAAAAAAAGAAGAGTATATAATCACCGCTCAAGGTTACATCTGTAACTGAACAGTCATGTTCTGATCTAGGATCTTTTTCATTTTTCACTATTGTATTTCGTTCACTTCTTTCAGAATAATGAGAGTCGTAATCTTCCAATATTATTTTTCTTTATCATTATCTCCGTATTAGTAGTAGCCCAATAACAATTTTCTTTACATATACAGGTATTGCCAAAGTACCAAGTTCATATGCTGCACTTTTAAGTTTGCCGAATCATGGTCGCTTTATAATTCGTTAATAATCATACAAAACTGGTGGACTTTCATGTGGTATTTAAAGAAGATATTTCCTATTGTAAACATATTTTTAGGACCAACACTTGCTAACTTCTTCATTCACAGTGTTGATGACATACTGTGCAGTAGAAGAGTTTGAAAGACAACAGGTGACTTGTGGGCCTGGTGGCTTGCCGGTGACCCACTGAAAGATTTTCTGTAAAGAGCAGTCACTGGTGAAGGACTGTATTCCGGTGATAACAGGTCATGTTTGGAGACAAGGATGTTTACTGAAAATGAATCTGTCATTTACTGATTACCGCATCGTTGCAGTTATTGCCAGGGTAAAATATAGAATTCAATAAAAAAATATGGCCTGTTATCTTCGGAAATTTATCCCTCGCTATTGCAATAATAGGGCGTTCGTTACTGTTATGTTTTCAAGTTATCAACTTTGTTTTCCTAGAGTAATTCAAGAATGGAAAGAACAACCATGTTCTATTGATATTTGATACATAGATCCATTACAACAACCCCAAGAGCTGTTGTGATTTTGTAATAACAAGGTAAAGATTGAAAGTGTTACCTTCCTAGCATTGAAAAAGCTCCGCCTAACGTGAGTCGACCATTCGCTTCAGCGTAATCAATCGTGTAGTGGCGAGTGTTACACAGTGGCGCCTCTACACCGAGTGGCATTTTGAAGGATAACGAGAAGTTGTTGGGGAAAAGCCACTGTTTAAAGAATTTCACAGTACCACCAGCTGCATGACACACAACCTCGTACAACATAGAACCACCGCCCCACATCTAAATAGTGATATATATTTTTTAGAATCTATCATTTTTTAGAACGGTTGCGGTGGCTGTGTCCTAGTGGTCGCTGAATCTCATCCGAGGCAACTCCAGCTGTGAATGGCTGCATCACCGGCACACTGCCACCATGTGTACTCAAGGATTATTTTTAACGGGACGTCAAGCCTCTGGGAAAACCTTCACTTACTTCAAAGACACATCTAATATGGTGAGGAGTTTTGGATCATTTATCATTGAGCAACAAAGGGCAAATTAATATGCTTCCGTGAAGTGCATTTCTCGAAGGTAAACTAGTTTTTCATAAGTTTCTTGACATTACCCAATTCCCTGCAACTCAACCAGCCGCCAAAGTTGTTCTGTGTCTGTCTGTCTGTCTGTCTGTCTGTCTGTCTAAATATAACCCATTCCGTGTGTGAGCTCAGCCTCAATCTTTAGGTTTTACAGAATAACACTGATCTTAGAAATTTTGGTTGAGTGCTGGAATCCGAATATTGAAGGTGGTGTCACATTCCTTCGACATTTTTTTTACTATGATCCGGTTGCACTAAATTTAATTCACTCTTAATATCGGAAAAAAAAGTACACGTGAAGAAAAAAAATGTGATAAGCTTAGTTAGTGAGGAGTGCGTGACGTGTGTGGGTGAGAGGGCAGCAACAACTTATGCTGGGTATATTAGGAGCTAAGAGCGTGGTAGAAAAAATGTCTAGGTTGATAAGTTTGTCAGTTAATATACAACAACGTTCATAGAGTTGACTAAATCAGGTACAAACGTTTATAAGATATAATTTTTACTTATATCCAGAGCTCCAGAAAACTCGTAGTGACTAACTGTAAACAACGACAGGGCTTGTATTTAAGTATAATCTTGCATTTCCGTAGTGCAAGAGTCAATTCCGTTTGCGCTTTTTTTCCACACACTTCAAGAGATCTTTAATGGAAGTTTTTCCGTACTTAAGGTTCACGAGAAACTCGTTTTTTAGTCAAGGTTGCTCCATCCTAGACGAGCCAGTCTACAGTCCAAAGCACAACACTTTTTATAAAGCCTTATCTTAAGGTTGCATGATGAACGTAAAACTATACCAGAGGTAGAGGAACACATTCCTTGTCTTGATCCCGGTAGTGCTTTTTTTACACTTTGATGTGTTTGATGATTATGTTAAGGACTGGTGGTAAAATTGCAGTCTATGATTTGATATCCTTACAGTCTTACATCAAGCTGTATGTTGTTAATTTTTAAATGTTTGCATAATCATTTTTGCAGCCCCTTTCCTGTTAAATCTTAAGGTGGCTAGAATCAAGAGCAACACAGACTCTTCCCTCACTTACTGTTTTTCATCCTCTCTTGCAAGATGTTTTCTGCTCGGGGCTCTATGTCAATTCAATCCCTGGTCAACCCAACCTCTGTCAACTCAAAACCTGTCAACTCAACTCTGGTTAATTCGTTTCAAGATCAACTCAACCCCTGGCCAACTCAAAGTCCCAGTCAACTCGACCCCCGGTCAACTCATTCCCCAGTCAACTGAAAACATGTCAACTCAACCCCTTACAACTCAACCACTCATAAATTCAACTAATATGTATTTCTGTTTAACCGTAAATAAATTTATTTATATTACCAATTTCCTTGTATTGGATGCCACCAGCCCTTCAGTGCTTGGAGTCAGTGTGTTGCAAAGACTTTTTTAAGTCGTTGGGTTTGATTCCGTAGGTTAACGTGAGCACAGCTGGTGCCGTTCCGTGTTCATTATTCTCATGTTTCACAAATACTAACCTAACATAACCTATTATCAAAATCTTAAAAAGATATCCAGTACTACTTTACAAGAAGTGCACAGGTTAACTTTTCAATAGAATAAGACTTCTTTCTTTCTCAAGAACATCCCAAAAATGGCAGAGGAATAAATTTTTGCCAAACCTAACTTATTCATAAAAGAAAACAAAACAAAAGAACCTCATGAACCAAACCAAATGACTCTTATATAACAGGATACGTGACTTATCCAACCTAATATAACATCTCGCCTATGTAGCCTCTAGTCTGCCCAGCTGGGAATTTCCAGCTAAGTAGCAACTGCCAATTTTGCGTGGTATTTTTC